GCGGTTCCTTCCATTGGTTCGACCGAAATCCCACGAAGGTTTGGGGTTTCCTTCAGGTTTTGGAGAGCGAATTTGCCTAGACTGCTGCCTCTGAAGCAAAGCAGCTTTGCTCTGGAAGTAGCGCCCGCCTCAAAGGGGATTGGGCGAGAGCAGAGCAGTTTCACCATGTCGGTCAACTGGCTGAACCCTGGTCGACTGCATGAGTTTGCGAGCCAAGAAGCGGATACCTGAGAACCGGGGGGTGCTCTGGGCACGGGCCAAATATCCACGGGTTCCAAAGCAGGTGGCGTGGGGAGCTTTGGGCGGTTTGTCCTCCTGGCATTGAGAGAAGAGCGCGGCTGTGCGCCATGCTTTGTTGGCATGGCGTGGCTGGAAAACCAAAGCAACTTCTGGATTATGCCAAATAAGGCGAGTGTCAAGCCACACAAGGAAGCTGCACTTTTGCACTTTTTATTTTGCTTAATACCTTGCCAGAATGGCTTCAAAGTGTATGGGCACTTTGTGTAGGGTTGTAAGGGCACAGAGGAAACCGACCATGTTGGGCATCCGATTCCTGATCTTGAGACAAGCCCATGCGTGAGTTGGTGAAATTGCTGGTTGAGCTTGAGAGGGGTTCGGGGCTTAGAGAAAGGCCGGGCGGCGAATTGTTGTTACTACATGGCAGTGGTCGTTTTCAGACTACTCGCTGTTGGGCTGCATGTTGGAAGACCTCTTCAAAAAGATTCCCCCGAAGCCAAATGCCCCTGCGAAGCTCCCTCAATCCCCTCAAAGTCAACCCAAGGTGCGTCAGATAGGAGACCATGGGCCAAGAGCAAACCAACCCTCCCCTTAGACTCCAGGAGATGGCCGAGATGAGCCAGCGCCTGGGGAATTTCGAGGCACTTTGAATGGTCAAGGGGTGTCGGGTCAAAGCCCATCCATACATCGATAAGGGTGGCCTGCCCTTTTTGGTACTCACTTTAAGCGATGGCACCTTGGGCGGCAGTGCCCAATGCACATGTTGAGTTTTCTGAACTGGTCTCGTCTCATGCTGGTTTCTCTTTGGTTTCAAAACATTGTGCACCCAAAAAAGGTGCCCTCGACAAGGACACCTGAAAAATGTGGAAAGAAACACAATGGTCGACCAACCTTACTTTTGAGCATTTGTTTGGATACATGTGTGTACAGTCGGGTCCCTGGAATTTGACGTTCCTAGTCGTTGGAGAGTCCTTCTCCCTGTCTAGCCACGTTTACTCGTTGGAGGGTTCATGGCATTGAACATTTGCACGGCACAGTGTGTGTCATATAGCCTCAAAAGGCTACACTGCAACGCCCTGGTTGGGTATCCTAAGGCTCTCATGCATCGACCCAAACATCCGACTTGAAGGGGACATATTGGTGGGTGATCGAAACCCTTTTGGGCTGTTTGGAGTGAAGGCTGTGGCAACGGTGGCAACCATAGGATAGTTGCTCAACAGAAATCCTGTGGGAGGGTTTCCTCAGTTAAGGTCCACCACGACTTGCCATCCCCCAAACCTGTCCCAAAGTTGCTAGGCGATGTTCCGTGCCAACTTGAAGGACCGACTTTGGATGTGCTGCACGCATGCGCTTGCGTATGGGTGGATGGATGTGTGTGTGTGTGTGTTTTGTGTGTGTGTTTTGTGTGTGTGTGTGTGTTGTGTGTGTGTGTTTTGTGTGTTTTGTGTGTGTGCTTTGTGTGTGTGTGTTTTGTGTGTGTGTGTGTGTTTTGTGCGTGTTTTGTGTGTGTTTTGTGTGTGTGTGTGTTTTGAGTGTGTGTGTGTGTGTGTTTGTGTTTGTGTTTGTGTTTGTGTTTGTGTTTGTGTTTGTGTTTGTGTGTATGTTTGTGTGTGTGTGTGTGTGTTTGTGTGTGTGTGTGTTTGTGTTTGTGTTTGTGTTTGTGTTTGTGTTTGTGTTTGTGTTTGTGTGTGTTTGTGTGTTTGTGTGTGTGTGTTTGTTTGTGTGTTTGTGTGTTTGCGTGTTTGTGTGTTTGTGTGTTTGTGTGTTTGTGTGTTTGTGTGTTTGTGTGTTTGTGTGTTTGTGTGTTTGTGTGTTTGTGTGTTTGTGTGTTTGTGTGTTTGTGTGTTTTTGTGTTTTTGTGTTTTTGTGTTTTTGTGTTTTTGTGTTTTGTGTTTGTGTGTGTTGTGTGTGTGTGTGTGTGTGTGTGTGTGTGTGTGTGTGTGTGTGTGTGTGTGTGTGTGTGTGTGTGTGTGTGTGTGTGTGTGTGTGTGTGTGTGTGTGTGTGTGTGTGTGTGTGTGTGTGTGTGTGTGTGTGTGTGTGTTTGTGTGTGTGTGTGTGTGTGTGTGTGTTTGTGTGTGTGTGTGTGTTTGTGTGTATGTGTGTGTGTGTGTTTTGCGTGTGTGCTTGTGTGTTTTGTGTGTGTGTGTGTATGTGTTTTGTGTGTGTGTGTATGTGTCTTGTGTGTGTGTGTGTTCGTGTTGATGAGTGTGTGCGTGTGTGTGTCATATTGTGCCTCGTTGTGTCGACTGGTGTTCGTGTTTCAGTGTTTCTGTTTTTCTGATGTTTGTGTGTGTTCTCGGTTTCTGAACCATTTGTTTGCGTGTCTCTGGTATACTGCCTTAATCTGCCTGATCTCCTTCGTCAGTCCCCTTTCAGGACACAGACTCCATGAAGGAGCGCCTCATGAGCGTGGAGGTGCGGCTCAAAGCATCGGTCCAACGGTCCAACTCTTCAGATATTCAGAGGGCTGGGCCAATGGGTAGGGTTAGAAGCTATAGAGACATAGAGTATTTACAGGATGTTCCTGGATGCAAGCCTTCCTTAAGATTCTCTGGTAGCGGCCTCTGAGATTTGATTGCATGTTTGCATCCAACCAAATATTGTGAGTGACCGACAATCGCAGACTCGCAAACGTTGACATACAAGAGCCAAGCTTTCCGAGCTTCAATATTCAATAGGCCACCAAGTCACAACCTTACAAAAGAAAGGTTTGCAACCTCATGATGGTTTCCTCTCTCTGGGGTTGTGTTCCTTTCTCTGGGGTTAAATCCAGTTGGGATTTGCGGACGGGTTTCTGGGGTGAGCTCTTTGGTTGCAGGCGGACCAATCGCAGATGGCCAGCAAGGCGGGAGCCGTTCAGCCGGGGCTCGTGGCACCGGGATGTTTGTAGGTGTTGGCCGAAGTTGTCTCCAAGGAGAGGGGGGGGGATGTAATGACTTCATCCGGGCGGAGGTGTTAGGAGTTGTTGGAGGGGTTCTTTCTCCTTTGGGAACCTGGAGCACCCTTCGTTACCTAAATTTCTGCCCTTAGCCCAAACGTATTGCAAGACCAGGGGTCGTCACCAAAATACGGCAAATGTACACTTTTTCCTGCTTCGAGCGTTTTTCCCAAAATCGGGCTGGTCGGTCCTGCAAGATGATCGGTCGCTGAATTTTCGAAAGGAGCGTGCAGAATTCGAAGTGCAAAACGAGCGCAAATATCCGCAAAACGAGCGCAAATATCCGCAAACGAGTGCAAAATCAAAAAACGTAACAATGCCCGCCGTCCTCTGGATGGAAGAAGGGATTTGGTCGAGCGTTTTTTCGGGGTGCGAGCGTTTTTTCGGGGTGCGAGCGTTTTTTGCGGGGTCGAGCAGAAATCGGTAATTCGAGCGTTTTTTTTCTCGTACCTAAAAAAAAGGGCACGTTGGGTGCCTCAGGAAAGAATGACACCTGCGTTGCAGTTCGAGGGCAGCTTTGTCTTCCTGCTTGTTGGGAACTGGTTTGTCAAACTGATTCGGAAACGGAGGGGCTTTTGCTTGCCTTTGGCTTCCCCCAGCAATCTTACCCTCCAAACGGAGTTAAAACCAGGACTAAAAAGAGAGGAAGCGCCAGGCATCTTGCGAAGGAATCTGATGTCCAGAATCCCCCTGCAAGAAGCTCACCCATGATGAAGGTGTTTCCACTGTCCTTGCCAGTTTGTAAATTATAGCAAATGGGCCAGATATGTTTTGCCGTCTTGGGCCAGAGGAGCGGTGCCGTGTTTTTCCGCAGCAAAGAGGACTTTCTTGTTCAGACACACGCCACAGGCCGTGTCGTATTGTTGGAGACATATGTCGATGTACACCCCTAGGATGCTGCAACTAGGATGCTGCAACATGTCCTTGGCGCAATGGGGCATGCGCCGGCGTCAGCTGATAGTGTTTGTCAGAGGGGATCGTGCAAGTGCAGTGCTAAGAAAAGTGGTTCACCGATTCCTTGCCCACGTCTTTCCCTGTTCAGCGCCGTTTCTGTGGGTAACCTGTTGAGCGCTCAGATAGGAGTGGTGCTGATTCTGGCGTTGGCTGCAACAACTTGGTAAGCCCCCTATTGGCTTCGACGTCCGATCAATTTGAGCGTGTGCTTTTGGGAACGCATGAGACACTCCTATAGAAAGGCAGCAAAGATTTGTGAAGAAGTCTTTGTTCCGTACCGCTGCGGCAGGCGCAATTGGACCAAGGTGACCGCCGGGGTCCCGGGTCAGGTTTGCGTTGTGCAGTTTGGTAGCTTAGATTGCAGCTTCGATGGTTCCAACTACTCCCAAGCCACTACCCTCCAAGGGCTCTGTGGCATATACAGCTATACTATATAGCCACAGCACAAAAGGTGTATACCACATTTTCCCCGGTAGCGGAAACCATCTTAAAGATCAGGGACTGGAGGGAAGAGCAGTGGAAGGAACGGTTCGGGGCCATCTTGGGCAGGATACCAGGGGCACCACACCGGCCGGTTTGAGCCAAAGTCATGTTAGCATTGGGCCCAACTAGTTTCGGCACGTACCCATGGCCGTGACATACAAGGGTTCTTTGGTTTGACAGGGGGTAAAAGGCGGCAGTGCGACAAGAGTCGCGGCAAAGACGGATACAGTGAGATAGGCATACCGGAGCCAATTCACGAAGGACGCATGCCTGGTTTGGCACATCAAGTCATCGTGGGCTGTGTTTGAAAATGTGCGGTTTTTTCATTTCTCCAATGTTGCGTTTAAGCTGATTTGTTTTTTTTTTCAATTCGTCATGACAGGCACCAACCTACTTGTGGCGTCGACAAACGGGCTTTGCAATTGAGGACACACACACACACGCACCCTGAGTGCGGCACACCATCATACTGAAGCGGATTTCACGGGACATGTTATTCTGGTTTCTTTTTGTTCAAGCGACCCGCTGGCCGCATCTAATTCATGTTTAGGGCGTCCAGATCGTGTCTGGGCGAAACTCGTATAGGCCGGCCTGTGGAGACATCCCTATGTCAGCTCCTAGGATGAAATGTCCGGTTGTCATTCTAGTTTCAGCGCGTGCCAAGGAGCCATGCAGCAGATTGAGAACCTGAGGCGCGAAACCTTTCGACTGCCGCAAACATTTTTGCATGGGGAAAGACCTGGTTCAAGGCTCGGGTTTCTGGGTGTAGCCGCAGCGCGAGCAATCAGATTCTGTTCATTGCAGCCAGGTTGTTGATGTTGGGTCATCTCGGTGGTCTCTTCTGATAAATCTTGCAGCGTTTGACAGCTGAGCTGGCCAAGCTGGCCTGCAGAAAGTCGCAAGAGCCGAAAGTGCGGCATGTGTGCGCGTGTTGTTTGTCCAGAGCCGCTTAGCTGTTTACGGCTCATACATGCATACAACAAGCCATGACTAGCCGCCTCACGATCGAACCCTGGGCAAGTTGCCCGCCCAAGCTGCCGAAGGAGGCCGAGTGACGTGAAATCCGGCGTCCCTAAGCGTTCCAAAGGCATATTTTTGGAAAGGGACCCTATTAGGCATCCTCCTTTTGCCGATTCGGTTGCAATCATCACCGAAGGGTTTTTTCTTGTGGTTTTTTCGAGGCTTTCTTTTTGATGATACATCCCATTTTTCTCGACTCCGGTTTCTTTGCCCAAGTCCCAGACCTTTGCACCAGGACCTTTTGGTAATTTTCTGAGCTCCGTCGCGCCATGGCGCCCAAGAAGCGGCCAGCCGCCAGGACTCGGATCCCTCGTTCAGCAAGGGGCCTTTCCAGAGCCTGGAATGTTCATCCCAAGTTTGGGAGAATCAAAGGGACGGAAAGGCAAAGCAATCAGATTCCTTTCCAAAGCCTTTCCAAAGCAAAAGGGGTCAACTCATGTTGATCGACAAACGTGACATCCAGAACGAAGGTAGCACTGCGAGAACCGACTGCATCGTAGCAAGATCCGGGCCATTGAACCTGGGCCAATCGCTTGTGACTTGCGAAATGCAAAGCTTGTTCCTTTGCAAATCGACATGGAACCCCCAAAGGAGGTTCTCCACAAGGGGATGTCTCTACCAAATGCAGGCTGTCTGTTGGGGTTCCACTGGAATCAGGGGACCTTGGCGCACCGTTGGCGAGGAGTAGCAAGAAGACCAAATCGGAGAGCTTGAAGTTTCTGCCCAGCCGAGCGCTCTGGCATCCATACGTAGAAAACGGCCACGTGTTTGGGGCAACTCCTGGCTGGTTTCAACGGGTCCTGTTTTTGGCTTTTGTAGACTGCCCACGTTGCAGCTGCTTAGTCGACAGCATGTCCTACAGTCCTAGAGATCAAAGGGTTGTTGTTTTGTTCTGTGTTTGATAATGTTGTTTTTCCGCTTTCCGGGTGATCAACACAAGCTTCCAAGCCTGTTATATGTGTGTATGTATGGCATGTGTGTGTAGAGTTTTCAATATCTGCATGATTCCATTTTTCCATTTTGGGGTGCTTGCACGTTCATTGATTGAATGTTTCTGTGTTAGCATGATTATGTTTCGTTGCTGGTGTGTATACATGCATGCATATATATATATATATATATATATATATGTACAAATGCGTGTAGAGGGTCACACACATTGATATATTGTGCGTGTGTGGTTGGTTGGGGATGCGCGTCGATGTGTTTGTTTGCCGTGTGTTGTGTGTTGCTTGTTTGTGGCTTTCGGGTGTGGGAGCGGTGCACTTGTAATTGTACAGTATAGTACAGTATTGTATAGTATGGTATTGTATTGTATTGTCATGTTGTGTTATGTGATGTAGTGTTTTGCTACATGTTGTTCTTGTTTGGTTACTTATATGTGGTGTGGCAGTGTTGTGTATGTACACATGCGTGTGTGAGTGCATGTTGCGTGCGCATGGTACCCAGACATTACCTAAACCACCTGGTATAGGTATAGATACAGGTCTCAGCTACCCCCCAGCAGAGGTACTCGGGTGCATCTATACCCCCCCAGTATAGGTACTGGTACTCTTCCTCTTCAGGAGTACCTTTGCTCTCTCAGTACAGGTACAGGTACACCTCCAGGTTTTTCTTGACAGCATTGCGAAGGGTTCTTCTGGTAAAGTCGTTGCGTTCTGCACAGCTCAACTGCATAGGGAATGTAGACAGTGAAATGCATAGATCCCCAGTATAAGTCCGCATCTACTTGTGCTGATAATCTAAAGGTACAGGTACCCAGACAGTACACCAGGCATACGTATAGGTATAGGTACAGGTCTGAGGTATACCTCTATAGCCCCCCCCAGTATGATTACAGGTACTACATCGGGTGTGCCAAGCCCTCCCCCCCGAAAAGGTACAGGAACTCCTATTCAGCAGTACCTTTGCTCCCCCAGAAAAGGTACGGGGCTTCCTTATACACTTGTGCTGATCCTAACGGCACAGGTACAGGTCTCACTTATATCTAAACCAGCACAGGTAATTTTGTCGGCGGTCCCCTCGGGTATACCTCTAACATTTGAGGATAGGTGGTGCAGGCACACATGATGCTGCTCGGGTAGGTGCAGGCATGGCAGGTCTAGATCTCCAGTTTTGGTACAGCCTCCTCCTGGTGCATATGTCTCAGTCTCTACCCATACCGCTTCCCAATATGGGCACCTACTCATCCTCTTCAGAACGACCTCTAATCCCCTGAGTATAGGTACAGGTCTGCCTCCCAGGTACTTTCAGGTTTACCTATATTTTTGCCAAGTTTAAGCACACGTCTACTTGTGCTGATACCCCCTAGCAAAGGTATAGGTAATAGGTACAGGTCTCTCTTATCTAAAACCGCACAGGTACTCCTCACATCTCCGGTAGACCTTTAATCTTTGAGCATAGGTGGTGCAGGAACACGTCTGCCTGTGGTGAGGAACAGGTTGCCCCGTCTGATCTGCACATATGTATATTTTGTTTCTTTGATGTTCCCCCCACCCGCCCCTCCCCCCCCCAGCACAGGAGTAGGTCTACCTATGACGCCAGTATGGGCAGCTCCATTTCTTTATTTACAGAGCTCGTGTAAACCTGCCCTTCTTCAGACAATCTTTCATCTACCGATCTTACCCGCCAGCAAATTTATAGGTGCCCCCTCTTTTCTCTGGTGCTCTGCCCCCACAAACAAGACCGAAACACAATTCTCCTTTTTGAACGATTGCTGCACATACCAAACCTTAGTATATTTAATCTCCACCCCACAGTAAAGGTATCTCCAATGCAGGTTTTGGACAGGTCTCAGGTATTCCTGCACAGAGACCTGTAGGTTTAATGCTCTACTTCAGTATAGGCGCAACCCCCCCGCCCCACTTTTCATACAGGTACTTTTTCGAGTTCCTTTACTCCCCCCCCCCATAGGTGGGTTTCGCGTATATCCGTATATCCAAAACCAGCATCCTCAAGTCTTTGAGCACAAGTGGGGTACCTCCACCTGTGCTGATCCCCCTCTCAGTGTAGGTACAGGTGTAGGTAGGCACATACACATACATATGTACATATATATATATATATAGATGGGTGCAGGTTTTTGTGGTGGCTGATACTCCCAGTGTCAGGTACACCTTGTCGTACCCTTCCCACCCCTCGCAGTAGCTAGCAGGTGCGCGTCGTCGACCTGTGCTGATAGCTCCACACTCAAGTCCTCGAGCTGCGCCTGTACCTTTTCCTATGTGGGGCAATGCGTACGGGAACATGTACTTCGTGCTTTCCTCTTCCTAAAAGCGTAAGGGGAAATGAGCGCAGGTGCGAGTACTACGTACATTTTTTCCTTATACCTGTCAGTCCTAGCGCCTGCGCCTGTGCAGGTGCAAGCGGTGGTGTGCTTGTCAAAACCTCTCAGTTCTCGAACTGCTGTGCTGGCAACTAAAAGCTGTACGAAGGTGCAGGCTTGTACCCTCTACACTGCCCAGTCCTCAAACTGTACCTGTACCTACATATACATGTATATATATATATATATATGCACCAAAAACTATATATTCGAGTCATCTGTGCCTGTACTTGTGCGTCTACCCCGACCAATACCTTTTCCTAATCTCTTGGAGCGCAGGTACAAGTATCTAAGCTGGCTGTGTACCTATGCCTCACCCAGTCCTCGGGGTCCTGTGCTTACACTACCCTCTACACTCAAATCCTCATGCTGTAAAACCTCGCAGAACTGGCGCCTGTACCTGGGGAGTATGAGTACAGGTGCAGGTACAGGCGCCTGCTCTCATACTCGTACTTAAACCTGGGCGGTATGAGTGCAATAGGTTTTTTGGTGGTGCACTTGTACCTACACCTATCCCTGCACTGCACCTCTGCCTACACGTGGGGCAGGTGCTTGCTGCACCTATGCTTCTCCCCACTCCCTCAATATTGCAGGTCAACTAGTAAGCTGGTTGTGTTTGTATCTAAAACGAGCGCAGATCCAGGTTGTACTTCTATCAAAACTGCCCAGTCCGTAATCTGCCCCCACACCTATACCTGTCCTGCCTGTGCGCCTCCCTCCCGGCTTGCTGCCCATGCCTGTACCTTTTCGTCTACCAGACCGACACCTTTTCCCAAACTCTTCGAGCGCAGGTACAAGTACGTAAGCTAGTTGTGCACTTGCACCTGTATCTATACCTCTGCACTGTACTCGTCTGTCGAAGGTCTTGCCCCGCTTGGTTCCGATTTATTGAGTGCAGGACTTGTCAGTTTGACGCTTGAAAGGCAAGGGGACTGGTCAAAGCCATACAGCTATATCCCCGCCTGCGCCACACAAGATTGGCCCTGACTGGGCTGGACCCTGTGTAAGCCACATGCAATTCATGAGCTGTTGAACCAATACACTAAATGCGCTGAACTTGAACACCCTTCCTTCTCCAAGGATCCATAGCCAGTCATGCGCAGAAACCGCCCAAGGAAAAAGTTCGGCGTGCGTTGACAGCACGCCTATAAGCCCCAATATCCCCATGAGGGGTGCGCGGGGTTGAGTTACGTGTGAGATCATGCCGCTTGGCAATGATAGTGTGTGTGTGTGTGTGGTTTTTCAATGCTCCAACATGAGGTTTCCACCACAAGTTGCAACGCGCATCAGATTTTTGCTCTCCGGGATTGCGATCAGGCTCTCAAGTGATACATCGTTGCGCACTGACTTTGCTGATAGCCGTTTTGTGGCACTGGTAGGAGTCGTAGTGGTAGGGCCCAAACACGCGTCGTGGAACCCGAGGCCCTACATGTCTCTTCCTACCAACTTGTCACGTCGGCCGTCTGTGCGAAGGCGCCCGCGGCCCAGATTTTATCTCCCTTGTTGCTATGGATCCTTGCCCCCAACGACTCCGTCACCGCATGACCCACATGAGACTCAGACAGCGCGCAGGCGGGATGTTCAATATGACCAGTTCAATATAAAAAGAACACACGCCAGAAATTACGCTCGTCTACTCCGACAACGCTTTGCGAGGGCATCATGGATCACACAGAGACGCAGCGAAACTTGCGGGGTCTCCCCAAACAAGCTTGGGGCATGTCTGATTGGCAGGACGCTGATTGGAACTGGAACAACGAGGCGCAACATGATTTGAGTCACACAGAAAGCTTGTTTTCATTTTACATCCCTGTCAGGAAGCAGATTGGAACTGGAACCAGGCGCAACATGGTCCGATTCACATACTCAAATTGATTGGAACTGGAACAACCAGGCGCGCCATGATTCTATTGAGACATACTCACATTGTTTCAGTCCCCGGACAGGACGAACAGTGGTACTGGAACAACCAGGATTCGATTCACGTACTCAGGACGAAGAGTGGTACTGGAACAACCAGGTGCGCCATGATTCGATTTACGCGCTCGTTGTTTGAATCCCCTGGCAGGATGCAAATTGAAGGCGCTGGAACAGCCGATTCACACACTCACGTTTTCCATCCCCCGTCAGGGCTGGAGTTCGTGGCACAGTTGGGGGCTCGAGATGGAACTGGTACGTGGCGCCCAACATATCGTGCAACCACAGTAGTCTTCAACGTCATGCAACAGGGGCCGGCGCTGCCTATGACCCGCCGTCCTCACTCACGACTCCTCCAGAGTAAGGCTTGCGTGACACGTGTGAATCGGATCCAAATTCTTTGTTTGCGTGTCCGTGTGCTTGAATCGCATCCCCTTCCGCTTCGTGCCAGCGCGTGGGTAAGTGGTCAGCAAATTTGAGTCTTATGCCAGGCGCCCCCGTTGCCTAGTAAAGGGCAATTCGGACCATAAAGGGGCCCCAGTCCTCAACCTCCTGTGCAGTGCACTAATCTGTACTTGCACCTCTTGGTGAACTGCCTTGCAGTTCTTGTCCTTCTGACGCCTGCACCTGGACCTACACCTATATTTGGGGGGTATGAGTACAAGTACAGGCACAGGTTTCTGTAATTGCACGTTGCGCAGCCAAACAGTCTTCAAACAAATCTGAACCGCGTGCGCCTCTGCACCTCCGGCTTTCTGGCGCCCGTCTGAGCTTGCCCAAACCTCGCAGTTCTCGCCTGCACCTGGGCCGCTCAAAAGTCGTGAAACTGTACCTGTACCTATACCTACACCTTGTCCAAAACTCGCAGTGCCTCCCTGCTGGCGCCACCTGTACCACTACAGCTATACCTGAAAGAAATGAGTACAGGCACAGGTACAGCTGTACGAGCCAGGAAAAGTCACAAGTGCATCCCTGCAACTTTTACATCGCGCCGACCTACACCTGCAGGGACTCTGAGCTTGCGCGTCCCAACCACGCGCGCACAACACATACGCACACGACAAAGAGCATAAACTCACAAACGCAAACACACAACCCACACTACACACAAGCAAGAACCATGCGTGCGCAAACACATGCACACACACACACATTCACACGCACATGCGCACGCGCACGCACACCTGCCCCCCACCCTCCCCGCCCCCCAAACCCTCCCTCTCACAAACACACACACACACAGCCACGCACATGCGCACGCACGCACTCACGCACACTCGCGCACACACAGGCACGCACGCGCCCACGCCCACGCGCACGCACCCGCACCCGCGCACACCCACACCTGCACCCTCACCCACACACACACACCCACAAACACACCCACACACAAACACAGTTGCAAACACCGAGACCAACATACACAAACACACAAACACACAAACACATACACAAACACACAGCCGAACACACAGACACACACACAACAAACACACACGCAAACACGCACACAAACACACACACACACATACACATATAAACAAACACAAGCACACACGCAGACACACGCAAGCACACAGACACACACAGACAAACAAGCACACAAACAAACACACAAACACACAAACGCACACAAACGCGCACAAACACACAAACACACACACACACACCACCCACGCGCACAAACACACAGACAGACACACACACACACAGACACAGACGCACGCGCACCCACACACGCATGCAAGCAAGCACGCACCTGCACACGCACACGCACCTGCGCCTGCATGCGCACGCGAAAGAGCACATGCGCACGCAAAGCAGACGCACACGCAGCTGTGACGCGCACAGGCACGCGCACGCACCCGCACGCGTACACGCAGGCGCACATGCACAGTCACACGCACACGCACACGCACACCCACACACCAACACACACGCAGACATGCGCGCGCACAGACACACACACAGACATGTCCGTGTGTGTGTGTGTGTTTTTGTGTGTGTGTGTGTGTGCGTGTGTGTGGGTGTGTGCTTGTGTGTTTGTGTGTTTGTGTGTTTGTGTGTTTGTGTGTTTGTGTGTTTGTAGGTGTGCAGGTGTGCAGGTGTGTAGGTGTGTAGGTGTGTAGGTGTGTAGGTGTGTAGGTGTGTGTGTGTGTGTAGTGTGTGTGTGTGTGTGGGTGTGGGTGTGGGTGTGGGTGTGTGGGTGTGGGTGTGGGTGGTGGGTGTGTGGGTGTGTGTGTGTGTGTGTGTGTGTGTGTGTGTGTGTGTGTGTGTGTTGTGTGTGTGTGTGTGTGTGTGTGTGTGTGTGTGTGTGTGTGTGTGTGTGTGTGTGTGTGTGTGTGTGTGTGTGTGTGTGTGTGTGTGTGTGTGTGTGCGTCTCATTGTTTTTTGTGCAAGCTGCTTCGGTCTCGGACCGGGATTTTGCGACTCACCGCGGACGATTGTTCGTTTGATTAACTCTAAGTTGGGACGTCCAATCGGATATACTATGCGTGTTGCATCATGTTTGCGCTACGTCTACTCTTGGCTCTGTGAGTTTTCAAGTTTGAAGCAACCAACCTCGAAGCTGTGCTTCCGCTGATAATGCGTTGAATGCAGAATTTGGAAGGAAAATGTCCAACCTACTCATGCCCTGGTCAAAACATTTTGCATGGTAGCGAGTATTGACTGTACTGAACCGCGAACCAAGGATGGACAAAAGTTTTGCAGGTGAGTTAGACCTTCCGAGTTTTCCCCCGGTCTTCTGAACATGTTGATTCCCTCCCCAAGGCGGGCCACTGGACCGTGTCGCCGGAGACGGGCAAGCAACGGCGCGGGGCATACAGCGACTTGGATGTAGAGCTTATCCAGGCATATTTTACATTTTGAGGTTCACTAACTGTGGACCAGACAAGAAGATCTTTGCAGGGTAGGGCCGAGCCTGAGCCCTTATTCGGGATTTAGACAACCCTTGTACGGTTTGACCTTGGACCTCTTCTGCGGTTGATCCCTTGCCATCTTTTGAAAGAGAGCGAGCCCAGCTTGCCATGGGTTCCGAGAACCCTCCACAAAAGGCGGTGTTGATCTTTCCTTTTTCTGTTTGATGTGTTCCAATCTAAGAATGACAACCTTCCAGCTTCCATTTGCATAATAAATTGTTTTTCGTTATTTTCCCTTGTTGGATTGAAAGGGAATCTATCACTACGTGTTTTTTCTTCGGGGGCTTAAGCAAATGGAAACCACAAAAGGGTCTTCAGGTTCTTGGGTCACTGGTTGCACCTCGAGGCTTCGACCCTTCCAGCGGCTGCCTGAGCTGCGGCGATGCGCCGGTGGGCCGCCTTCTGATTTCCGCCCTGGGCGCCGCTGCGGCGTCGGACGCCGCCAAAGAGGCAGCTTTGGGCCGGGTCTCTGGTGCTTCTTTTGGGATTTTGTCGGATTTTGCTAAAAGTTTGACCTGTTAAGCCTATATCAAGGTAAGCCAATGTTGAGAAAATGCGTGCCCTTTTAAGCCCGAATGTGTGTGTGCGTGTGTGTGATTCTCCTTTTGGCTTCCTTGGTAGAGCCAACCCCCGAAAGGGTACCCTCGAAGAACATCGCACCCAAACAATGGAGCTCATGTTCTCAGTTGTCGATTGATTTACGAGTTACAGCAACAACCCCTCTCAAGGCTCGTGTTTGATCGCATCCCAATTGGCGGAGTGTGTGAATCGACTCAGGGGCGGGGATACGACAGAACCCATTGGGCTTGCCTTGTGACCGCCCTTCAAGGACGGAAAGAAACCCTGCCTACAGAAGCCCGGAAGCCACAAATTGAAAGATAACGGGACCAGCCTTGGTTGCCTACGAAGCATAGTGTTTGTTAGGATTTAAAAGGTCCCTCACCTGCCCCTGCCGGCATGTGCGGCTCGGGAGGTTGGCGCTTTCACCTGGCGAGTGGTGAGTGGGGAGATCATGGAGGAGCCAAGGGAAAGGCAGAGATGGCGCTTGGACTGGTCTTTGGGCCCTTTGAGATGTGCCCCTAAAACATGTGGGTTTTGTCTTTTTTAGGGGACCCATTTGTGGGTGGTTTTACTTTTGGGTTCCCTTAAACTCATAAAAGGGGGTACTGTAAAACCGCCAAAGAAAGGGGTACAAGACGCTGCTTTTCCATGTCGACCAGCAGGATGAAGCATTGGTAGAGCAGCATATGACCAGTTCACCGGTTCACGGGCTCGGGCACGCACAACGAACGGATTGCAACGAAGCCGCCCTGTTGACGAAGCTTTGATTGCCCGGGGAAAGTTGCTAAGTTGCTTTCGAGTAAACGCCTTCTTCAAGTAGTTGTCGCCAACAAAGTCACACCATGTCTATTTGCCAAAAATAAGATAGATACATCAGACCAAGACCAGTGCACCCCTCAAGTCAAATTAGCAGTGTTTTTGTTCCCCCACATGCTTGCATTCCCGATTGTTTTCTCTTCAAACCGAAAGCTTTTCAACCACAACCTGTCAATGAGTGTCCTCAGTGTTGAGAGTCCTTGAACGGAGGGCAGAACACGTATGATCAGAATGAGTCGGGGCTGTCCTTCTAAGATTACAGCGTTGGAAAAGCGTACGGTTTTCGCGGTTCCCCCTACAAGTCTAGGGTTCCTGTTAGATGTATGCCTATCTGATCCAGAGGATTCGGCGAAAGTGGACCAACAAAAAAATTTATGGACCCCTGTGACATTCCTGCCAAAGTGTTTGCTTTGAATGCATGAAAGACTGAGTAAGTGGGATTTAGTCGGCGTGTGCAAGTCAGATAGCAGCCTGTGGGTCGCTTCGCATTCTTGTCAGGTGGCCTGCATTTTGTCAACACAGAGGGGTGTCCCTCCTTGCTTAGTGAGACTCCTTCACCTCTGTTGCGCTCTATGTATCAAACCCAAGTTCGGATTGGCAAAGTGTACTCCCCCACAAATTCGTGCTTTGCCCAAACAAGGCGCCCCCAAAACGAGATTTTCTTTGGATGGGTGTGGGGGTTACTTTTGTTTCTGGCAATGTAAGCCACTCAGGAGATTCAGAACAAGGAGAACGCGGGGGCCTTCTTTGTTCTGCCCTCGCAGATGAACGCTGCGGAGTACCCAGACTGCAGCTCCGGACTGCACTTGGAAGGGCCCCGGGCAGGCTCCTGCGAATTTTCTTCGGGGCATATCGTGGGACTTCTCTTGTCCCTTGCTGGGAATTGATTTGCTTGGCGAGCAGGTTGCGGGAGAAGCATTTTGCCTGTTTCCACCAAGCTAAAGCGCCAGCCTGATAGCTGGCCAGCGGGCTTGTCGCTTTCTCATTGGAAATTAAGAGCTTGTGTTCAGAGTGTGAAGGTGTTTTACCCAAAAGTCTTGAACAACAAACCGGACCAAGAAGCGACGGCCAAGCAAAACTCAGGATGTCCCAACATTGTGGGGTAGCCAATCAAGGAGGCAAACCAAGAGTTTTCGTGGAAGGCAGCTTGCGTTGGGTTCGATGGGTCGGCTAACGCAAAACCCGAAACATTGCCATGACGGGCAACTTGTGAAATAACTTGCAGCGTTGCAGCACCGCAATGGGAGGGTTGGTTGGCTAGTTTCTTAGTCAAAACCCAGCCTCCTGCTAGCGCTGCTAGCTTGATGTTGTTGGCCCATGAGCCACTGGGCAGCGCTGCTGCGGCTGGGGTCTTGTCGCGCTCAGGGGCAATATTGAGCAAGCGCGGAAGCGCCCCAACTTTGCTTTTGCTGTGGACCCGCGCAGCTCTCTGTGCACAGAAACTCCCCCGATAATTTTGTCAGCCTTGCTGGCGCCTTGAACATCCGGTAACATCTGTAGTCAGAAACGCACTTGGAGCCTTGAAACGGGAATTGTTCTCTCGAGCACGTACCCTGGGGTGGTGTGCTGACGCACACGTACACGCTTGATGCTTATCAATATATATATATATACATACGTGTGCCAATGCATTTTATGTTTGTATGCTTTGTTTGTATAGCCATTGTCAATCTATATAGGCATGGATGTGACGGGCCGGAGTATGTATGACCATACGTAAATGCATGTGTCTACGGATATTCTGACGGATCTATATGTATATTTACAGAGAGCAAACACGTTTCAGGGGCACCCGTTAGTGGAGGGCCCTGCGGCCGATCCTTCCGCTTGAGCTTTCGAGGCAAGGATGATAACATCGTTGTGGACGTGGACGACTATAGGCGCGAGTTGGAAAAAGATGGCGGATTTGTGGTGCAACATTCTGTGATACCAAGGGAATCCCATGTTAAAACAGCAAAGTAGTATAACTGTCTAGGGATGGCACAATGGCATCACAGAAAGGTGTTTGTCCCCCCATAACCAGGCTAGTGTTTTTGTTGCAGGGGGTGGTTAAACTAGAGAAGCTCATCAGCAGCGGAATCTTCCTGAGGGCCTGGTTGCTGCGCTACGTGCTGTTTCGCAGGTTAGAGGCGCAGTACACAATGGGTCTGCCATCGCTTGCCAGTCCATGTGCCTTCCCAACCAAGCAGCCACACCATGGACGACACCCCAAGTCTCCAACCATTTCTTGGAGCCTCGAACTCTGCGACGCTTTTGGTCCAGCACGTGTTGCAGCCAGCCTTCTGTTGGAACCCAGCGCCCAAAGATTGCAAGTGTTCAGTGGACTCCTCGGCGCCTTCTGTGTGGGCTCCAAGGGGCTCCAATTCTATGGCACAGCCGCCCAACACCACCCCCCGTTCCCCGCCACGTTTACAAGGTCCAGCTGCAACCTGTGCGACGTAAATTGTGTTTTGACCAAGTACATATACATATACGTGTATATATATATATATATTCATACCTTATTTCTGAACATTTCGCAGTACTTATTGTAATCGTGCTGAACGGCGCGCACGTGAGTTGAGCAGCCGTGTTCATTTCATGTCTTCAAATTGCCAGGTACGACCACACCGCTGGGCCGCGGGGGCAACTGGCTGCGCATCCGGCGGTGGGGCAGTTCCTGCCTCTCGGCATCGGCGCGTCCCATGGCGCCTCAAGCAGCAGCCCCTGTTGGCCATGTGGGTTCTGCAGCCCAACGGTTTCTCGAATTTAAACCACAAAGCAGCTCACAAGCTAAACCCGGCGAACTAGAACCTGGATGGTGCATCTAAACCGCCAATTCAAGGTGTTCAAGAGAGCAAGACAGCTTGGTGTCGTTTTTGGTTGGGACAGTTGCAGCCACAAGCTGTGGTGAAAGCGACATTTGTCCAACCCCTGTGCATATTTTGTATACGTATATATATATATATGGTACTGTATGTACATATGATGAAGTGCAAAACTCCCCATCTCCCGGCCGATTACCAGGAACAAGTAGGCATGGAACTCCGTTGCTTTTTGGGCAGGGCCCAACTCAAGTTGAGCAATGGAACCACAAGCTCACATTCCCTTCGGACCCGACCCTTAGCGCCCGAGCCGCTCACATCGGATCTTCCCAGCGCCTGAGCCGCTCCATCGGATCGAGGTTGGACAATGCCAAGTCCAGCTTCGAGCCCAAGGGCTTGAACGCCCTGACGCGGCTGTTGCCCGCACTCAGCAGCGTGGTCACATGGCGCTGCAGTTTTTGGCGTGAGTTTGGTAGTGGTTTGGTGACGTAGGGTGGTTGGAGCACAACACAATCTTAGGTGGCACTGGGAGTGATTGTTTTGGTCTTTAAGGGAGTTTCAAAAGCTTCCCAAAGTGTGATCCATGTAGATTGACCTTACCCTACCCGGGGCTTGCGTCGCTTTGGCGGAAACCTGGTTTTGGGAAGGTTTGGCATCTGCCAAGAAGGAAAGTATATGAAAGGATGCCCGGACTCCAAGGCGAGCCCTGGGAGGCTTCCCTGTGCTTGCTTGAGCTGTCGCCCAAGCGCATTGAGAGCAGGGCGCGGGGGGAGTTGGGGCTATTGTCCCCCCCTTTCCTGGATTGCTCACATGTTCCAGAATCACGACATGCTCGTGCGTGCGGTGGTAGATAGTTTGCAGAGGAGCGCTAATTGCGAGGCAAGGAGGCCGAGAGCGTGCCAGAGGGCCCGCGCCAGATCCTCGAGAACTTCGAGCTGCAAAACGGCTACCTCGCGGCACCTTGAGTCATTTGGAGGTCGACTGTTGTCAGAAAGAGAAGGTTCGGGGTTGAACATTGGGCTTTGGATGGTGTTCGGCGATCTGTCCGGGAATCTTTCTGCAAAGTGACAAAGTATACGATGCATGGGGATAGCCGGAACAGGGCTTCCAAGAAGTCATATGAGTGCCAAATACCCCTTACGGGAGAGAGTTTCTTCAGAGGCGCCCCGAACGAGAATTCGCAAAAGCTTAGCTGCCGACCGCAAACTCCCACGAAGGCATGTGTTGTGTCTCAAACTAAGGGAGATTGCTGTTGGTGTCCTCGCGCCGTGTCCTGTTCACATGTCCGGGAGCATCCCGACCGAAACTTGCCTTGTGTGGGGATGCATTGAGCGTATCTGGCAAGTCCTGGCCCGAAACCCTAAAACCCTACCCACTCCCTGCAAATCTTTTCAAGGCTTGGCCCCAGACCAGACAGATTTGAACGACAGCGACAACAAAGCTGCTGGAAACTTGGCTCGAGGGATTGCATGCATGGCATCGCGCATGTCTCAGTTGCGCAACCTCCACCTCCACCACCAGCAACAGCACCACCACCAGCAACAGCACCACCACCATCAACAACAACTGCAACAGCAGCAACGGCACCACCACCATCAACAACAACTGCAACAGCAGCAGCAGCAGCAGCGGCAGCGGCAGCGGCGGCGGCGGCAGCAGCAGCGGCAGCGGCAGCAGCAGCAGCAGCAGCAGCAGCAGCAGCAGCAGCAGCTACATGACCACAGAACCGTGCAACTCGGGAGTTGTGAAAGATTCAGCAAGCAGTGGATTCCGGGAAGAGCCACTTTTGCGGGTATGCCCTAAGAATCTGAGCCCAAAGGGCTCGGTGGTTCAAGGGAAGCCAAAAGCAAACAAACCAAATTGCTGGGTCCAGTTGTGAGACACCCATGACTATACCCCTTCATGATGGCCTCTACAGGAAACCCGAAATCGACCCAACCAAATAGTGGATGCTCAAAATGGCGAGTCTCCGTTCTCAGTTTCGGGATCCCATTTTCCAATTTCAGGACAGCCAATGTCCTTCTCTCTATCCGCAACCATCCCACTACTATAAACGACGAACAAATAGAAAGGTTGCAGGATGCGCCAAGCCTTCAAAATCAAAATCATGAAGCCTACGGCTTGGTATGCAGAAGCCGGGTGTCCCCATACCACACTGCGAGTTGCTTGGTGTCAAAAAACGTAGTTTGAAGTTGCCTGTCAAATGCTGGGAGACACATCGTATTGACACTTTGTCCCAGGTGCCTTCCATGGACCTGAGCTCGGCCCAGGAGGGTCTCGCCTCTCGTCACTCAGCTTGGGCACCTGAAGGATGGTTTGGGCTTAGCTGGGGCTTGGGTTGACCGTTCGACCATTGCCTTTTTTAAGAACGAAAAGGGTTGCGGTTTTCATGAGGTTCATGTACGCACAACTAGAGGGTCCAAATCGAGTTCAACAACAAGCAGATCCTGCCGGGGTGACTTTGCCCCTCTGAAGCCAATTGAACAGACTGGTTCCACTCCAAGCGAGGGGTGGTGTCAAGAGGGTCCAACATTGGTCTTCCTTATCCTGAGTCTTGTGGCTCAGCGAGGCTTCAGCCACCGCGCTTCGCGTCTAGTGGGCGACGGGCTGACGGGCTCGGTTCGTGGCAGTCGCAGCAGGCGGCGGGATTTCCTGGCAGGCTGCGCGCTTTAGACTGGTTGGCCGGGAGACGAAGGACAACCATGGAGCCCGCACCACTGCAACTCTTTCTTACTTTGGCGGGTCAGACAGGCCGCGGGACTTGCGCGTCAGCTTTTGAATCATGGCTCACCACGCAATAGAGACCTGCCTACTGCACGACAGCAGTGCGCGGTGAAACGAAAAGGAGCACCAGCGACACAAACACTTATGACAACGAGAATCAACGAGATCACATGTCTAACATTGTCTATGAAACACATCAAGTACACAAAGCTCTCTTTCACTCAACGTATACACTCACTAACTTACACATACTGTTCCTTGTTGTTCCGTGTGTGGGATTCTTCCTTTGAATGTCGTCGTTGGCGCCGCTCTATCCTCCTTCCTCTCTTTTTCGTCCTCCTTCTGCGCTTTCCTCCTCTTCTGCTCATTCGCTTGCACATGCTTTCTACACACCCGAGATCATTGCTAACTTATTGGCATGAAGTAAGAACATCAAGCAAGGGCCCCGCTTAACTTAAAAAGCTAGGCATGCTTTTTGGGTTATCCGATCCTTTAGTCCTTGCCCAAAAAGCATTCCGCACAAAACACACGCATTCCTAACTGGTTGAGCCCTCACACGACCTCACCCCAAATGGTGGTTTATGTGGGGAATATCCCTCCAACCTGAGTTCAGGCTGGTGAAATATGATGACTCACCTAGATCGAGGTGTTGCGGGGCGCTGTGCGGGCGGCTTTGGCGAAGCATCTGCCGAAGATGCGCAGCCTCGCGGTGCTAGAGGCGCCGGCGCGAGGCGGGAGGGCCGACGAATCGTCGGCAGGGAGGAGGTGTCCAAAATCGGGGACCCTACAGGAAGCCACTATTACAAGCTGAACAGAGAACCTTTGGTTGTTGTTTTTCCTATCATAAGTGGTTTTCCTTCGGGCTTCCCTTTGAAATCATTTGAAGCCAAGACTTGAGCTTTGTCAAACTGTAGAAATTTAGGGACCCCACTTGGATGGTTTGAAAGGAAACCAAACGGACACCACCCATGGGAATTGAAACTCTTGCTGGGAATCGGAAACTCTTGGGCAACCCATCGAAAACCGTGATGTATGGTGGTGTCCTTTTGTTGAGCCTCAAAACAAGTGCCTGAACAGAAGCAACTAAATAAATGGAAATTAAATTATTGAGTAACTTTCAATCAAAGGGAAAACCGCAGGAAGCGAGCAAATCAGGCTGCCGTGATTGTTCCCCAAAAGGGAACTTGACGATTGTTCCGGGGAGCACTTGGGGATTGTTCGCCAGGGGAACTTGAATTTGGCAGGGATTAAAGAACCTCCAAAGCAGACTCCGTGAACTGAGTCACCAGGCCTGAGACCTAGCCTCACCTCCTGGTCCACCTGTCGGCACCGGGTGAACCTCGTCTATGCCTCCGCAGCCTGGGGGCCCAGTGCGAGGGGACGACTCCCGCAACCAGTTGGGGGGGGGGGGGGGTTGAGCCATGTTTGCCTCGGGTCTGTCTTTTCCGTTCTTAGCTTCAAATTTGTTGGACCCAAAATGCTGCGCGTTCGTTTCGGTTTCGCTTCAACACCACAAAAGAAGGTACCAACTCAACAAAAAGACGAGCCGCCCATATTGTTGGCAATGCGGATGATAATATGACACCTAAGAAACCGGTTGTGGTTCACCCTTAGGCCTCTTTGGCCACAGCTCTATGGGTCCCGGCCGTGTCCTTGAAGTGGCCTAGCTGAATTGAACTGGAACCCCACTATGGGCCCAGCGACTAAAAATTACCCCGGCACGAGACCCCAAACAGTGATAGGCGGCGGTCACACGCTGCAGAGTATTGTGCGGGCTGCGCCGCAAAACGGCGGTTGCTGTCAGGAAGCTGCAACATCATTTTGCGGTATTTGCGCGCACATTCACAAAGACAAGGACACGGCCTGGAACAGACACGCGCAAGAGAATGCAGCAGACACGTGTCGAAGCCAGCGCCATGGTCGTGTGTGCGTGTGTTGTGTTTGTGCGTGCGTGCGTGCGTGCGTGCGTGCGTGCGTGCGTGCGTGCGTGTGCGTGCGTGCGTGCGTGCGTGCGTGCGTGCGTGCGTGCGTGCGTGCGTGCGTGCGTGCGTGCGTGCGTGCGTGCGTGCGTGCGTGCGTGCGTGCGTGCGTGCGTGCGTGCGTGCGTGCGTGCGTGCGTGCGTGCGTGCGTGCGTGCGTGCGTGCGTGCGTGCGTGCGTGCGTGCGTGCGTGCGTGCGTGCGTGCGTGCGTGCGTGCGTGCGTGCGTGCGTGCGTGCGTGCGTGCGTGCGTGCGTGCGTGCGTGCGTGCGTGCGTGCGTGCGTGTGTGTGTGTGTGTGTGTGTGTGTGTGTGGGCGTGTGTGCGCGTGTGTATGTGTGTGTAAGCATCACTACAAAAGGCAAGATCTGTGTGTTTGTTTCACCAGGGTGCCTGAGTTAGTTAGCTAGCTAGGTAGCTTCTTCCTTTGTTTCGATTGTGGCGCTGTTGCTGTTGCTGTTGCTGTTGCTGTTTTCAGAAGCACCATCCAAGCATGCCCAAAGAAAGGGAAACAAGCTCGCGCGGACAGGGCGGGAATCGAGCCCGGAGCGAGTTTCTGCGAGCCTGCGCAGTCGAAACGCACTTCAACATCAAGCAAGAGCAAGAATCTGCGGTAAAACGCTTGCGGACAGAAGTCGACACCTCACTTCAGAAGTCGCCAACTCACTTTGTGCGAGCCTGCGCAGTCGAAATGCACTTCGACATCAAGCATGAGCACGAATCTGTTGTAAATACCGCAAAACGCTCGCGGACAGAGCGGGCACCTCAATCTGGCACCAAGGCCTTTTCTTAGTGTAGACACACTGTTTGGGGAATGAAACCTGCGTGCCTCACGGGCCAGCTTCTGTTCCTGAATTACCTGAGGTTTTTGTTTCCTTACAACCCTTTACTTGGCTCAGCTATCAATTAGAATCAGGGGGGTCTTTAGTTGGAGTCCGGCTCGATCCTACTGGACTGCTCATGTCTTCTTCTGACCCCGAAGCTCGGCCTTGCTGAGGTGCCAGTGAATGCCTACAACAACGCCACCAGCTCATCCCAGCATGTGTGCCACGGCTTCATTTCAGCCAAGGCAGACGTGGCGTTTGGATCACTAGAGGGGTGTTGTCGATGTGATGTCGATGTGAGTTGGTCTCAAAATTGCCTGAAGCGCCGCAACAGGGCTGGCCCTTAGCTGCTCTTCAAACAATCGCAAAATCAGTGCCCGCCGCAATCTACACCCCGCGACCATTGGCCATGTTTCAAACATATTCTGGCGACATGGGGTTGCACAGCCGCGCATTCTTCGGATTGGGTTGGGCTTGCGAGTCACAACTTGTTTTGCTTTGCCTCTCCAGATGTGCCTCCAAAGGCTCAGAGCTGTTGTGTGCATCCCAAGTTGGAGTTCACTGCTTGGGTGATACCACAAATGTCAAGGCACCGTCCCTTCACACGTTTGCTTGGATGACATCAGATCTTTGACTCATATATTATATATAATATATGTCCTTTGAATGACGGCCCAGGTTTCCCTTGACGGATTTGTTTGGGCCATTCATTTCCGAGGTCATGAACCTGGAGTGTAGGAAGCCCTGAATGACCTGATGCCAAGCATCTCCAGGAAAGTGACGACTGTTTCCATTTGTCCTCAGGGCATAGGCAATCTGCAGGCGCCTCGCAAACAATGGCGGATCCCTTGCCCGCCGTTCCAGCTTCCTTTGGGGTCCCTTCAAATCGCTTGGTGAACAATTGTAGGATATTGTAGGACTCGCAGATATGATATTGGCATGGTGTTGAGACAGGAAGAGTGTGGGCAGAACTTAGGTAGATGAATCAATCACTAAGGGGGGGCGTTCTTTCTTGGGACGATTCAATGGAGGGCCGATGCTGGTGGCCTTGAAAACTGCATTTGGCTGACTTTTGTGGAGACCCGTTCCCAGATAGGGCAACTTTCCAGTGGTCCGAACACTGTTCAAAGCATTTCAACGCTTCATGACCATCCTCCACCTGAAATTGAACTGATGGCTGAAGCATGTGAATATACTGAAGATGGCATTGGCTTGGGTCAGAACGAATCTTTTTGGATATCTTTTAGGGTTTGCTTAACCTGCAAAAACATGTCAAGCTCCAAGCTCTGAGCGTGGTTGCCCAAGAAGCGGACGTTGTCCATCGAGATGACTCTGGGTCATAGGCTCACACGCGGTCTCACCCCAGGGGCCTGTTTTCCTTGGCAAAACCGAAACGGTCCACAGCAAGTCTTGTTGCAACCGACTCGGGCCCCCATGGTGAAGGTTCCTTTTAGAGGGGTTCCCTTATTTGGGGAACCCCGTTTCCTCGTGACCTGGTTTTCTTTTGGTTTCCTTCAAACAAAACACCAAAAAAGGAGTTCTCCTCAACGATGACACACACACACACACACCCACACACGCACACATGAAATGTAGGTTGCTGTTTGCTTTGTTTGAGCTGCGTTGACAATTGGGTACGGCATCTCATAAACTGCTGAAAGTTGTCCAACCCCATGGAGGATACCCGCCATATCGACACCGCTGAACCAACTGTAAACAAATCCTGAGACCCAAACCAAAATCATCCAAAATCCATCCTTCAGGTTGGTAAAAGTGGATGGCACAATTCCATATTTTTTGGTGTGACCATCCGGTTTACTTGCCCACAGAAAGGGAACTGCGCCATCTACTTTCAAACTGCCGTAAACCCTCCAAACCATCCAAACCGTCCAAACCCTCCAACTCCTAGTTCATCCTACTCCATCCTTCTTTAAACCAGACATCAAAGCCAAAAAGAAAGCCAAAACAAATCCAAGAAAGCCAAAACTAATCCAAGAAAGCCGAAACCAATCCAAGAAAGCCAAAACAAGGCCAGAAAGCCAAAAAGACATCCACCAAGACAGCCAAAGAGCCACACAAAAGTCCCATTATTGCTCCCAAATTTCAGTGAGACTCGTTTCAGAAGGCTGCTGCAACGCGCCGTGGGCTCGCTGCTGCTGCGGGGCGCCTACTTCGGAGCGCTGCGCCTGGCGCTTGCGGAGGCCAAGAGGCCGCGGTGTGGGTCGCGCGCTTCGGCGCGCGCGGCTTCGGCGCGCGGGGTGTGTGAGCGCGGGGGAAGGAATTTGGCAGTGGTGGTCAAAAGTAGGCGAACCCCAAAATGGAAGCCTTGTAGGAGACATGGACTAAGAGCTGCGGTTTTGTGGTGGTTTCATTTTGACCCCAAAAACTTAAATGAGGGCGGAAACGCAGGTTTTTAGGGGTACCTTCCATGTCCATTCATTTTTAGGAATCCTGCTTTCTAGAAAACCTCCAGAATCTCAGGGAAAACGGCTGGTTTTTTAAAAGAACGATGGTTGAAAAGAATGGGGAATCAATCCCTAGACTGTTAGTGGTTTACAGCTGGTTTCATGACGAAGGCGTGGTTCAATGAAAACAAAGGAGACACCAAGCTCCAAACCACCAGCCATCAAATGAGGAAAGCTGACGTGGCCCAAATTGGTCTCAACATGGCTTCGGTCTTCAGCTGCAAAGCATGGCCCACCCTTGGGCCAGGGGCCCCCCGTCAGGTCCAAGAAGAAGTCGAGGATCTTCCTGCTGCCGTTGGGCGGCGGTGTCTTCAACAACCCCCGGAAGGACTCTCCAAAGCCATCCAGTTGAATATGAGCGCGCTGTTGCTGTTGGAATCAAACCGCGGAACTGGTGGTTTTCCTTTTGGTTTCCCTTTAAACCAATCCCAACCAAGGGTATCCTCAAGAAAGGCTGATTGAAACACCCCATGTAGAGATGTTTGATTCTCGGCAGTGATCTCCCTGCTTAGCCAAGTCGTTGCATCCATATTCCTGGCTCTGGGTGAAGAGCATGGCACGCCGCAGGTTTCACTGGTATTTACCCAGGAATCCGAGCTGTTTAAGGGGCTTGCACTTGCGCCCTGGCACGGATCAAGATTCGCGTCATGGCGAATGCATGCCCCTAGGGAGTTTCGGGACCTTGTCCGACAGCAGGTTCGAACCCCTCATGTGGTTTAGAAGGTACAGCAAATGTAGCTGCTGAAACATGTTTCCCGCACCCCCAAACCACAGTTCCACAAAGAACTGGAAGGAGACCCAACAGAACAACTCCAAACAAAGACCATCCAAGGGTGCCTCCAGAAACAGAAAGGGGCAGCCAGCGAATCCCGGCAAGCTGGCAGCTCTTTGACCAGGCCTATTTACGTGGCTATAAATGTTGCTCGCGCTCCGCGCATGACCCCAGGACATCGCCAAGGCCATGGTGGAAGCCATGCGCTTGGCGGGCAAGCAGTGCCGAGGGCAGCTGGAAGAGCTGCCGCAGGCTGAGCATTCGGTTTGGGGGTTCCAAGTTCTTTGCATTGGTAGCTCTTGTGGGAATGGGTTGTCCTTGAATCCAACACAAACAGACATGCCTGGGGCCCTGGGAGCAATCATTCGGTGTTTGCTGGTTCTTGGGCGGGGCTTTCCGTTTCAACTTCGCGAGCGCCGCAAAGTGGGAAGGGTCTCCTTTTTCTCAGGTCACTGCCAGAAAAACTGGGTCAAAGCGGCTGACTCATCAACTCTCTCGCTTGCAGTCCAGGGGCACCTCCAGACAGTCGATACGATTCTCGTGGTGAAACAAGCTCCAAGAGAACCACCGGAGCCGAAAAAACCCGGAGAAGTCATTTTGAGGCACGTTGGCAAAGTGAGGAAGTGCTGAGGCGCCTGGGGAGGTGCAAAATCTCTGACCTCAGGTTGGACGTTCGCATCCTGACCTGGAAGGGCAAACCTGAGGAAGCCACCAACTTCGAAGAGGAGCTGCAAGAGCTCGGGGAGACGCTCGCAAGCTGAAGTCCTGAGCGGGTCCGAAAGTTAGGCGCCGGCCTTTTGTTTTTAAGAGGCCAGTTGGGTGGGTCTTTCTGGGGGGATGCCCCAAAATGCTGGTTTTCCAATTTTGGTTTGTTTTTCGAGAATCCAATCAAAAGAGGGTTGCACCCCAAAAACGACACCCATTTGCACAGAGGTTTCTTTTGCTACAGATGTTGTGAGATGCAAACAGCCGGACGTTGCCGTGGGGCGTGCGCGTTTTCCGAAGACTATGAGCCAGATCCGCGCAGATCTTGCAGTGGGAGGTCAGCTTCCATTTGCTGATTTGGTGGTGCTTTGTTGAACCTTCTCTGTGGGTCAAAAATAGGTACCCAAAATTGATCTCTGTAAGTGGTAACATGGACTAAAATTTGCGGTCCCCTGTGGTTTAATTTTGACCCATATCCAAATGGAAGCGTTGGGAAAATGGTCCCTCGTGATGTTCCCCTGTGAAACGGAAAGACGTATAAATTTTGGGCAGTGACTTGAGTCACTCAAGCAAATGGAGCTTGAAGCAAGAACTTGTCGCAGCAATGCTGGCTGGGGGCTTCAAAAGTGCGGCGATCTGTGCGGACCTCCACAGTCTCCGGAAGTCTTCAAAACGGATGTTTTGGGTGTGCATTGTGATTGGGGGCCCTTTGGCGGACACCAATTTATGTGGAGATTTATATCCACCTGCCAAATTGAAATCTATTGCCATTTAAATGCCAGGAGGGGTGCGTATAGTCCATGCATTTCAATTTGCCGAATTGGTGCTGCTTTTTGCTTTGCGGCTCATTTTCGAGTTGAATGATCATGGCTCGACATGCTTTGAGGTGCGCCCAAAACGTTGTGCAGGTGATCGGACTTTGGAGTGAAACAGTCATTGGATTGCTCGTCCTATGTCGAATCCCCATCCTTCCGATGCGGGGAGACCTCTTCTTCATTCCACAGATGGTCTTTTCGTTCGTCCTGCGCTCAGTGGGCAACCGAAGAAGGGATGCCCTTGCTTTCCCTGCGCCCATCCGTAGATCGTCCGACTAGATTCGATTACACAAGGACTCGGTGCCTTTGGGTGTTCCCCACAAGGGTTGGGAAATTGGGGTGGGGCCAGTTGATAGCCTGCCATCAAAAGCTTGTTGGCCAGGAGACAAACAAAACTGAAGATACAAAGGGAGCGAGCATGTTATGTTTGACATGCTGTCCATTGTATGCATTCAAGGTCATTCAGAATACATAACAGCCTGCGACTTGTGTGAGGCGGCGGGGTATAACGAAGATGCTGAGAATAAATTTGAGGGAATGTTGCCTGGGGCAGCTAGAGAAAGCCTGAAGAAGCCTTAGTCCTGTGTGGTGTGACGTGTACCCTGCGCAAAGCCAGCGCGACGCCAGGCAAGATGTGAGACGGTTGGAGGATTTGCTGGAGGAGGACATTTGTCAGTTGTCTTGTTGACATGATCAGAGTCGTTCCTGATTCTGAAATGGAATGAATCGAAACTGGGTACTGTCAGTAGAGTTTAGGCCGTAGGTGCACCAGGAAGGCTGAGGGACATTGCCCACCATCAAGCTCAACGAGGTGTGCTTCTCAAATCAAAGAGTTGAGCCTTGAAAGACGGCGTGAAGCTGGTTCATCCATAGTTGGCCAGAGCCCATCCGACCGAATCTGATCCACTCCGATGGCCAGGAGCGCGCCACCCGTGTCCAGAGCAGGGCCCCCAGATCCGATCCGCTGACAGTTGGTGGGTCCTTAGCCCCTCAGATTTTTGGAAGCAAATAGACTTTCCATTGAACCTCCAAAGGTCGATTTTTGGGGCTCAGGGGGAGAAGACCTCAGTTTAGTGACAGCTTCGGGGATTCCACGACAAACAAACACAGTGTGTGGCAGGCTCTGGAAAATGAGTAACCGGGCGAGAATGCAGTGACAGGCATGGGCGAGAATGCAGTGACAGCAGCACTGAACGCGAAGATGCAGGACTCGCGACGCTTGCGCGAGTGGACGGACTGAATTTGACTTAATAGCCCTTTGGGGCTATTGATTACACGGAGATTTGTGTCCACCGGCCATGTTACCCATTTGCTTGTTCTGTGGTATACAGCTTCTCCCTTGCAAGGCATCCTCTGAGCATGGCGCGGTAAGACCAGATTGCGCACCCAGGCGGAACCTGTTTCAGCTGAAATCAAAGGGAGTCTTGTGTCTTATGGGTTCAGAAAAAACAATTGAGCACTTACCTGCCCTGGTGGTCATGCACAGGGGATTATCTCCAACTGCAAGGGGAATCCCAAATTGTCTGATTTTTCGTTGCTCTTGCTTTCAGCAAAAGTTGGAAGGGGCTCGAGTAAACATCAACGCCCCACACAATGTTCGTGGTATCCTGACTGTCGGAACCGTTCGTGGGCGTCCATCACTCATTCGTGATTTTGGTAGTCTGAATCCGCAGTGACATATGGCAGTTTGGAGAGATTTTTGCCTGCAACTATAAGCTGATTTGTTTGTCGAGTCAAGCCCCCAGGTTGATATTTCCATCCAAACACAAATCACAAATGCATACTGTTCCAATTTTCATGGTACATTCTCACTCTGCAAAAGCATGTGTTTTCACTTGGTGATAGAACATAGAAATCGACCCAGGGAGGGTTCGAGCCTCCATTATTGCTGACAGCTTCCGCCGGCCACGTGAGCCAAGCGTCAGCCATCTCCTGCAAGGGAGAACGAGCAACGACTGGGTCAGTTGCTGGACTTTGCTTGTCAAAGATATTTATTGCTGGCCCTTGTCTTTCTAGGCTCATGGTTGATCTAAAACCCTGAAATAACGACTCCCCTATAAACAAGGGATTTTGTCCATCCACAGTAGGTTGGATCTGAGGTGAATGTTCAGCGGTTTACGTTTGGTTTACCTTTCTCCTTTTTCGTCGACGACGGACCCCCGGAAAAACCTGCGAGGACATTGAAGCGTCCTTGGGCAAGGAATGCCACACGCGGCAGTCTGAGGCGGAGCCAATGCGATCAAGTGCTAAATGAGCCCATCCCAACCCAAGAGGGGTTGGGTTTTGGTTGTTGAATAAATACACAACCACTACTTGCTCATGTCTTCTGATTCAAGATATTATGCATACATCTTGCATTTGGTTTTGTTTAGCCATTTAACTTGTAGAAATTCTAAGCACAACTAGTTGTGCTTATTTGTTCAAAACCTCCTGTGGATCTATTTGGGGGTTGATCAAAAGGTCCTTTACATGGGATGACCATTGGGGAAAGCCACTAAAATGATGATAATTGCCACTTACTGGGAAAAGTTACCCATGGTCAATCAACCCCCATCTAGAACCCAGACCAATGAGCAAAAACTAGCCGGCTTGGACTTGCAGTGCGGGCCATGGCGGAAACTTGAATGTTGGTTCTGTCTCGGCGCAGGTGAACAGCCTGCGCCCGGCTCCTGAGTATGGCGGACAGGTCATTGATGTACATATTCGCTGTCACCCAGTGAGGGGCATGACATGCGGTACATTCACCCATTTGCCAATATATGAAACAAGGAGTTACTCGCCAAAATCGAATGTCGGTCGGGGACACAACAAAATGACCCGTGGCTTTCACGATTCATTGACAGGGCTGTGGTTTGGGCGGTGCTGGCGTTTGGACTGTGCTGGTTGCTTGATGCCGAGCGTCTTTTGGCGGGCTGGCACAGGCACATGCATGCACACCCCCACAATCACACAACCAAACACACACCCGCACATATATATCTATATACATTCACATGCACAACCACACTGCTGCCCACATACCACACACCACGCACCACGCACCAAGCACCACACACAGAGAGACACACAGAGACACACAGAGACACACAGAGACACACACACACACAGACACACACACAGAGACACACACACACAACGCACACACACACATTCAGACACACACACACACACACAAACGCACGCATACACAGACACACACACACACACACACACACACACACACACACACACACACACACACACACACACACACACACACACACACACACACACACACACACACACACACACACACACACACACACACACACGCGCACGCACGCACGCACGCACGCACGCACGCACGCACGCACGCACGCACGCACGCGCTCGCACGCACGCACGCACGCACGCACGCACGCACGCACGCACGCACGCACGCACGCACGCACGCACGCACGCACGCACGCACGCACGCACGCACGCACGCACGCACGCACGCACGCACGCACGCACGCACGCACGCACGCACCCACGCACGCACGCACGCACGCCCCTTGCCTTACGCACATACCCTTAACATGCGCTGCCCATACGCACGCACGCCCGCACGCCACGCCCGCCCGCCCGCCCGCCCCGCCGCCCGCCCGCCGCCCGCCACGCCGCCCGCCCGCCCGCCCGGTCGTCGTCGTCCGTCGTCCGTCATCGTCCGTCCGTCGTCCATTAATACGTCGTCATCGATAAATCGTCAATCAAATAATCATCACGTCAATCCGTCCGTCGTCAATCATCGTCCATCCATTATTCAAGCCCGTCCGTCCGTCAAATCCATCCGTCCGTCAAATCGTCGTCCCGTCGTCGTCGTCCGTCAATCATCGTCGATAAATCGTCCGTCGTCGTCCGTCCGTCCAGCTCTTTCGTCCGTCCATCACGTCTGTCCGTCACGTCCGTCCGTCCGTCCGTCCGTCAATCGTCCGTCCGTCCATCGTCATCGTCGTCGTCCGTCGTCGTCCATCGTCCTCCCGTCATCGTCACGTCGTCCGTCATCCCGTCATCCGATAAATCGTCAAAAAGGCAACATGGTCATTGTCCAATCCTGAACCTCGGATTTAACTATAATCATAATCGTCGTCGTCAATCGTCGTCCAATCCGTCATTAGCTATTCGTCGTCCGTCAATCGTGCATCACGTCGTCGTCGTCATCATCATCTAAATCATCCGTCCGTCCATCCGTCCGATAATCCGTCGTCGTCCATCATCCG